TGCATTTGGCGGAATAAGTTTGACCATTCCTTGTCGGTTACATTGCTCATGCTAGCTTTAAAGTAATATTTCCATTTTAATATGTTCTTTGGGATGTTTATTTCATTTTGTTTGGTTGTGATTTTATAAGTGGCTTTTGGTGTGAGGTCTTAAAATTTAATGTGGTGATTGTTCGTAAAGTAAAGCAGTGGTATGGATTTGTTGTGGTCGTACTTTTGGCATTTGCTATTGATTTACTTTCTCCACTAGGGGAGGGGGGGAGTATCGATTGCAGAACTGTTTTGTATTGATTAACTTTTATTACAATTTGGTTACATGCAAGGAATCTGGGAACAAAAACTTTGGCAATATCTGCTAAACTAAATATTTTGTTTTTTTCCGAGTCTGGTAATGGTTTTAAGGAGGTTTGACGGTTTTTTATGTGAGGGTTATAAAATATGGGTTGATTCATGAGTTCTTCGAAGGACATTTTTATGAAGTTTTCACTTTGGCTATACATTTTACTCCAGTTGCTTAATAGTTTTCGATAATATGGGGGCAAGGTTCTTAACGAGTCGTTTGAATGGGATGTGAAGAAGATTTGGTTTCCTAGGTGTCCTTTTCGGTAATTATTTATAATATGTGAGGCTGCATCTTTCCAGTTACCTTTGGTATTTATGTCGAAGAGTTTTGATATCCAGCTAAGTTGGATCGAGTTTAGTTTTGCTTGGATGTCAACGATGTTAAGACCACCTTTTTGGATAGAGAGTTTTGATGTTTTTTTAGATGTTCTTATAGGGCTATTGTCCCTTAAGTAGTTTTCTTTTTTTTTTTTCAAGAGATTTAATTTTTTTAAAATTTGGTAGCGGTAGTGTAAAGGCTAGATGGTATAAGCTGCTAAGAAGACTCTGGTTGATGACCACTCTTTTTCCTTTAAAAGATAATTTGAAGCGTTGCCAACTTTTTTTTTTTTTTTGATTTTGTTGATGCTTTTATCCCTTTGTTTGTTGTGAATACGATTTGAATTTGTGAAAAGTATACCTAGACTTAAGAGTGTTTGATCCTGCCATGAGAAATTGAGAAAGTTGACTTTGTTTTCATTTTTGTCCTTTCCAAGCCACAAACCTTGGCATTTTTTAATGTTTATTTTGGTCCCTGTGGCCGATTTGCTGAGGGCAAGGGCTTCACCGAGAGCTATAATTGAACTGTCGTTTGTGAGATAAAAAATTGGTGTTGTCAGCATATTGTTGTAGTTTTGTCTCCTTATTGTTGATAATTATTCCTTTGATGTTGTTGTTTTGTCTGATGTAACGTGCGAAGATTTCAGCCTGGATGATATAGAGGGTCATGGAGAGAGGGCAATCTTGTCTAACTCCTTTGTGGATATTTATCTCTTTTGAGAGGTAACCGTTTATTTTCAGTTGCAATGTGATGTTGTAATATAATGTTTTAATTAGATTTATAAATGAAATAGTAAAACCGAAACTGTAGAGACAGTCGAATAAGAAATTTTGGTGTACCCTCTCAAAGGCTTTATTTTGGTCAAAGGAGATTATTGATGCGTCCAAATTTCGTTAGCGATGTGAATTACGTCTCTTGTCTAGGATAGGTTTTCATATATCGTTCTATGTGGGATGCAAGCAGTTTGAGTTTCGTTGATAATGAAAGGAAGGATTTTTCGAAATATTGAGAAGTGATATTGGCCGCCAGTTTTTTATATCGGATTTGTCACAATTTTTAAATATACAAATTATGATGGTTTGTTTTTGTGACGCAGCCATCTCGTTTCCTTTCATGATGTTGTTTAGGACAATTGTTAGGGTATCCCCAAGAATATTGATGTGTTGTTTATAAAATTCTACCGTTAAACCATCACTTCCGGGTGATTTCTTGTTTCGAAGGATCTTGAATTTCATCTAATGTTATGGGTTTATCAATTTGCTGTTGTTCAAGGGCCATTTTTTTTAGTCGGTATTTTCTAGTAAATAATTTTGATCAATTACGTTGTTTTTACTGTCTTTATAAAGTTTAGAGTAAAAGTGTTGGAAGCATTTCATGATGTCCGGAGTGTCGCTTTTTTCCACACCATTTATGTCTTTGATATTAGTAATAAGTTGCTTGGATGATTTCTTTTTTTCGAGTTGGAAGAAAATCTTGCTGCATTTTTCGCCTTGGTTTCGCCATTCGATTTTGGCTCGTATAGCAGCACCCTTTTTTATTTTTTTCATAATATTCTAGTTTCATTTTCTTAAAAGTTTCATCCAAGGGTTGTGATACGCTTTTTTAAGGGCGTTTTTTAATTGTTTTTTCATCGCAACGTTGTTTTGCAGCTTCAGATTTACTGAATTTTTGGAAAAAACATTTAATTTTATTTTTTAAGGCGTCTCAATCAAGATTATTATTTTCTGAGTTTTTTAAAATTTCGGCTCTGGTTTTTATAATATTTGCTGTGTTTGTATTATAGGAGTTATTTTTTAAGTGTTTGTTATTTAGGATCCACACATCTTTTGCCTATTTTGAAGCTGTTTGTTTTAATGATGAATTGGATTGTGGTGGTCAGAATGTGTTATAGATTCATGCGAAACGTCTACCTGTCGGCGCATGTGTTTACTTAGATATATTCTGTCGAGTCGTGAGTAAGTTATGTTGTTGGTTATTTTATAAGTAAATTCTGAGGAATTAGGATTAAATTTTCTCTACGTATCTTCTACGCTTAGAGATTTGAGTAGGGTTTTAAAGAAATCTGTTGATGAACATTATTTTCTATTAATTTGGGGGTAGAAAAAGTTTATTATAAGCGAAATTTTTTAATGATAGTCACTATTTTTACTGTTACTAAAATTTATAGTGCAATGTAAATTGCTATTTTTAGCATGCTACCAACGGATTGCTTGTGGGTGTTGTTAAAAGTGGCACTTTGAAAAACAATATCAAGCGCAGCTTCCTAGTAGGCACGCCGACGTATATTTGACGTCGAAAAGACGTCCTTTTAGGACGTTCAGGACCGGTTCTAAATGGCAACGCCAGATGACGTCTATATATATATATATATATATATATATATATATATATATATATATATATATATATATATATATATATATATATATATATATATATATATATATATATATATATATATATATATATTTTTACAATATATATATATATATTGTAAAAATATATATATATATGACGTCTATATATATATATATATATATATATATATATATATATATATATAGACGTCTATATATATATATATATATATATATATATATATATATATATATATATATATATATATATATATATATATATATATATATATATATATATATATATATATATATATATATATATATATATATATATATATATATATATATATATATATATATAAATATATATATACATATATATATATATATATATATATATATATATATATATATATATATATATATATATATATATATATATATATATATATATATATATATATATATATATATATATATATATATATTGTAAAAGTAATGATAAATACCTTTTATATTATTTCAGGCAAAAATCATGAAAAATAAATATCTTTAACAAAACTTTAAACTTAAGCAATAATTGCTGATTATAATAACTTAATACCACACAGAATCTTCATCAGATTGGTCTTTCTGAAACTAAGGTTATTTGTTCCAGCCATATTAAAAAAACTCATTACTTTATTTGACATCACTCTAAAATGAAAAGATTATATATATATACGTAAGTGTGTGTGTGTGTGTGTGTGTGTGTATACATAAAATATTTTTTAGTGTAAATTAACTAACAGAAAATTACAACTTTAACTTATACATTATATAACTGCCTAGTGAAAATTATCTTGAAATTAGAGTGTTAAAATGTTTTACCTATGGGCCTACAAAGTTCCGAATCGAATCAAATCAAAAATATGATTCAAGTTACGATTCAAAAAATTTTAAAAATCGAATACATGCTTATTTTGTTTTTATAGTAGGTATTTTAGATATTCTGGGCTTTGGCGCTTTCAAAATAATATTACTTATCCTTAAATACCTTTTTAATCAGTCATTAAAAAGGTTAACCAGGACAAAAATCATCAATAAAGATATTATACAATTGTTTTAGTTATTTTATTCTGAAATATGTATTACTAAATAAAAAATGCTTAAATTTAGACTTCAAAATGTTAATTTGAAATGTTTTCCGAATTGCGAATCAGGACCTGCTTTGATTCGAGATTCAATTCGAAACAAAACTGCCAATTCACAGGGCCCTAGTTTTACCATAAATCTTTAAAAAGCTTTTAAAAGTACTATTCTCTTTATAATAGCAAAATTTATAACAATTATTTTTTAAAATAATTTGATATAAAATTAAGATAATTAAGAATAATTTTTTCGTATCATAACAAGCTTTATTTAAGAATTAAACTTAAAGATTAAAACACATGATATCAAGTTATATATATATATATATATATATATATATATATATATATATATATATATATATATATATATATATATATATATATATATATATATATATATATATATATATATATATATATATATATATATATATATATATATATATATATATATATATATATATATATAATGCATAAAAACAAAAATATATATATACATAATGCTAAGTTACTATACATAATGCTAAATATAAAATATACATAATATATATAATGCTAAATATAAAGTTACTATGCATAATGCTAAAACACGTCTGTTCGCCGCAATAGTAAATGCGTAATATATTGATAATTTGGAAAAAAGATGCTCGTGATCACCAATGTCAAAGGGCATTTGTTTTAAAAAGTTAGGTTCTAAATGTATTTTAAATGTCTTTTAACGTTTTCTAAACATTTTTCAGTAAAGAACGTTTAAAAGACCTTTAAAAAACTTTAAAGACAAAGAATGGAATTTTTTAAACACAAATACCCGTAGGGTTTAGCAAAGTCAATAAATATTGCAATTCAATACATGATTTAAGTATTTATAAAATAAAAAATGTCATAAACATCGTTTACAAAATGTACATTCAATAATAAACTTTAGTAATTTTATCAATCAAATGAATTTTTAGCATTTGTTTTGTGAATATTCTTTATAAGGTTATACTTTACATATACTTCACATATAAAATTAAAAAAATAAAATTTGTACAACAATTATTTGCAATGTTCTAATTATATTAAAAAATACCTTCACCGTTTAGAAAAACTAAATTCAATAATAAATATCAGTAATATTATCAGTCAAAGGATATTTAGAATCTGTTTGGTGAATTTTATTTAAAAGCTTATTTAAAAGTGTGCTTTGCTTGTATCTATAATAAAAATGTTTTTTTTTTTAATAAAGTTTAGTTTTTAATACTTCCTATTGATGTTGATATAGTTGCAGTAAACTTACTTTTATTCAGATGTTCTTTCTTGAAAATTAAACGTATTAATTTTCTTTTAAGAATAATTCTTACTTCTGGGGACGCAAATATATATACTAATGCATCAGTCCACAAAGATAAAGTAAGAGATATACTTACATACATGTATGTTGGATCATTCAATATAAGTTTTTCACTATTTAATAAAGCCATTAATGCATCAGGTATTGCAAATAACACAACAAATATAGTTATAATACTAACAGATAGTAAAATTCCTTTAAAAACCCCTTTGTTTAGTTGGTTGGAGCGAAGATTTGCTTTTTGCTTGTAAAAATGTACAAGAGTATACGTGTAAAAAAAAACAGAAAAGCTAACTATAACTAAATCGTAACACGCGTAAATCGTGTACTCGTAAGCGAAATTAATTACACCTGATCCGACTAAGCTTCCAATCAATATAGCAATACTTAATAAAATTACCATCACAATGATTGTTTTTTTTTTCGACCAATAGATGATGTATTTTACGTTTAGCTTAATATGCAAAAATCTGTCAAATGTAAACCAAAATGTTGTATAATACAATGCTGTTTTTAAAATTGAAAGCGCAATAAAAAACCTTCCCAATATTTTATAAGTTATTTTATCTATTATTGTCAATAAACATAAAATGGCCTGTTCTAAACTTAAGCAAAAGTCTATGAAACATAGTTGGATTAGTATATATCGCTGCGTTAAATCAAGTTTTTTCGTAAATTTAACCAGTACAATCAAGCCCACGATATTCAAAATAACGCCAATGAAGGAAAATATTCCATACACAATGAATTTATTGTTACTATTCTCGATTCCCTAAATAAATAAGAGCAAATATAATTAATACTGTTAAACTTCAAATTTTATTTGGTAGAATTGAGTTTTTTTTTTAATAAAACAAAAAATTTATTGTAAAGTACAAGTATATTTCATAGATTATATTTAAAGCTATTAACAATTATCAGGACCTGGATTAAAGATAGATTATATTTAAAGCTATTAATAAATATCAGGACCTGGATTAAAGATAGATTATATTTAAAGCTATTAACAATAGTCAGGACCTGGATTAAAGCTATGCATTCTCAGAGACACAAACTAACTCACACCTAAACATAAATATTTTTTTTTTCAATGCTTAAAAAGCTTTTTCTTAGTCAACCCTGAGAAAAAGCTTTTCAATTACCCATATTTAATCTGCAAAATAGAAAAAAAACCCGGAAAGCAAACGTGGTTTGCTTAATATAAAAGTGATCAAGAGTTCCGTTAACGAATGGTATAGTAAATAGTCCAATGATCCTCTTTAAAAATGTCAGCGTAAATAAATCCTCCATTCTTCAAAAATTAGCATTAATTTTATTACATTCTTATTGGCAGCGGGAACTTATTCCAAGTATATAGAGATGTTGTTTTTTCGACTTAAGAACTAGAATATTTTTTCTTGAAACTCAATTTTCTTTGGTATGATGTAAAGCATGATCAATAACCAACATTTTTAATACTCTATTAAAAAGAGAGTTCAATATAGATTCATGAGTTAAGAGTATTGTGTAATTTATTATGTTGTAATAATTTTAACTTTACTATATCTTTTTGTAGAGCCGTTCTCGCCTAAAAAATTTGGCCGATGCCACTTTATTGGCATATGTACTGCTGATATCAATTAAATAGTGGGCTAATTAGGAAACCAAGTAACTTAAACAAAATAACTTAAATTTTAATATGAGGAGCCTAACTAACAGAATCATTAATGCTATACTAATCTGTTTTATTTAAAGTCAAAATAGTTTTGGCCGATGCGCGCCACATATATATAAATAAATAAATAAATATATATATATATATATATATATATATATATATATATATATATATATATATATATATATATATACATATATATATATATAAATAAACATATATATATATATATATATATATATATATATATATATATATATATATATATATATATATATATATATATATATATATATATATATTCATTTATGTATATTCATTTATTTATGCTCCTTGAGATTCAACGCCATGTTAATTCTATTATGAGCCCATTCTAATTACAGTTTCAAAATATTCCACCATTTTGCAAGTCTATTTGTCAGAAAATATTCTCTTGATCTTTTTATTTTTATTACCTTAATATCTACGCGTGCTTTAATGTTTGCAGCTGGGCCATTTGCTGAAATAGAAATTGGTGTTTTTGGTTGTTGATACCAAAATACTTTGTCCAAACTATGAAAAATCTTATAATATTGAATTAAATCATATAATATTCTCCTGCTTTTTAAGGATGTCATTTGGAGATTTTTAAACCTTTTTTTTATAGTGTAGGTGCCTTGATTCCAGAATCAATTTAGTTGCTCGTTGTTGAACACTTTCTTATTTATGAATATCTTTTTTATTATATGTTTTCCACATTGGGGATGCAAATTCAAAAATAAGTCTTACAAATAGTGCAGTACAAAATATTTACTATTATTTTGTCTTTTATAAGTAAATGATTTGGTTAATTGACCTAATCGACTATTTGCTTTATTTACAACCATATTTACATGATGATTTTACTTCATAGTTTTTGATAGTGACACACCAATGATGATTTCCCTTCATAGTATTAAATATTGACACACCAATGATGATTTCACTTCATAGTATATGAAATTTACACACCAATGACGATTTCACTTTATAGTACTTTAAATGAACACACCAATGATGATTTCACTTT